AAACATACAGGATGAGTCGTGTGTGAGGTGAACGAGGTACCGGTGGCGATGCTGGTCCCGCAGTAACTGTTGAAGACTTTATGGAATAGATTATCAACGAAAGGGAACAGGACTGCCACCGAATTGACTGAATAAGAGATATGTTATTTCAAACGAGAATATTCGTGAAATAACTGCTCATATTAACAAGGCTGAAGAGGACTTACAAGTCGCCATCGTAGCGGTTGCTGGTTCGAATCTCCAGGTTGTCCCAACAGTCGGAGAGCCTGAAGGCAGTGAAGGTGACTCTGGGCAGCTTGCACTCAGGTGCCACTACCCACTTGGCACATACCACTCCTACAGAAATCGATAAGAGAACGATAGAATAGTATATACATGCATGTACACCTCAGTGTGATTATACCATCTCGTGGAGAATATTTTGTCCTTTGCTATTTCACACTAGGATCCTGTGCATGCCATCAGAGTGGAATGACTCACCATAAGGGTAGTTACTCGGGTAGTTGGGCGAGGTGACCGTGCCAGGGCTTGTGATGCGCGCACTGCAGTCACTGCGTTGCGAGGCTGAAGGGAAATGGGTAGTTCTGTTAGTGGAGGAAGTAAGGTCCCTCATGGTGGAAGCACACACACAAAAATCTCTCCTCTCTCTCGCATGTATATATCTGCACACATTTAGATATATACATAATATATATACATATTATACATACATTTATATATACATATATATATATATATGTATATATATATTTTTAATATGTATGAATATATACATGTGAGTACATGTATAAATACTTTACATTCTTGAAAATCTAAAAATATTATTTCCAAAATAATCCTCTTCGAGTGTCTCGCAGGAAGACCCGGATGTTCCTTGCGGACACACGCACGCGCAGTTTGCACCAGTGTATCCGCCGTTCTGGCAGGGGTCGCTGTCCATGCCACACGCCTGCTTCCACTTGTCTGCAGCGAGAAACCAGCGAGACTTTTGAGTGCTTCTTTGCCTTGCTAGAACTACGAAGGAAAATCTCTCAGGCAAAATATTACGTATGTCCATGCAAGACTAGGAGGAGTACTAACCGATGCATCCGTACATGAGGTTGGCGAGGTGCGTGTCCCGGTGCGACAGGCCGTCGCGGCGTCCGATCAGCTCCTGGTTGCGGGGGTCCACCGTGGCGATGGTCAGGCGGCCGTTCTTCGAGAAGCCCTGAGGGGTGAACGGCTCATGGTTAGAATACATTAGTGAGATTGCCGTCACTTTCATGCAAAAGGAAGTCAACCCAGGTGTCCTGTTCATAGAGAGCAGACTCCACAAATGATTGAAGAATACTTACAAATCCGCCGTAATGCATGTCACTTGAGTAATCGTATGGAATTCCTTGACTGTCCACAAGACTGTCGGATTTCTTGGCAAAGTTGTTTTCTCTCCCGTCCACGATGTTTTCCTCATTGATGTGGATGCTGTCGTCGCGATCCGGGCGGGACTGTTCGTGGTAGAAGCCGATGGCGTGGCCGATTTCGTGGGCGACTGTGCCCAGCTGCAGGAGAGGAAGATGAGAAAGGTGATTG